CCCAGAACCACGTGGATATCTAATTGCTATTGGACCTTCATTATATTGAATAGCTGTATAAATCATGTGTTTTAGTTCGTTTTCGTCGCAAGGTGACATAATAACCATATTAGGAATAAGTCGTAAATAGGATAGATCAAAAGCTCCGTGGTGTGTTGGGCCATCATTTCCTACAATTCCGCTTCTGTCTAAACAAAATAGAACATTTAAGTTTTGTAGAGCTACGTCATGAATTACTTGATCGTATGCTCTTTGTAAAAAAGTTGAATATATGGCAACAACGGGTTTCATTCCTTGCGTTGCCAATCCGGCAGCGAAGGTAACAGCATGTTGTTCTGCAATTCCTACGTCAAAAAATTGTGTTGGTAAATGTTGTTCTAAAATGTTAAGAGATGTTCCTGAAGGCATTGCTGCAGTAATTCCGAGGATTCTTGGGTCTTTTTTTGCTAGTTCCAAAATAGTTTCCCCAAATACTTTTTGGTATGTAACGGTTGGTAAGTTTAAGTCTTTTTGTAAAACTTCACCTGTAATTTTGTCAAAAGCGACGCTTTGAGCATGCCATTTCAATTGATCTTTTTCTGCTAACGCAAAGCCTTTTCCTTTCAAGGTGAGTATGTGCAATATCTTTGGTCCTTTCAGCATTTTCATTCGCCGCAAAATAGTAACTAATGTTTTTATATCGTGCCCGTCCACAGGGCCAAAATAACGAATTCCTAAGGATTCAAAAAAACCACCTGGCGAAATAGCACTTTTTAAGCCTAATTCGACTTTTGATAAAAAAGTTTGAATAGTTTTTCCTGTGCGACCAAATTTTGTTAATCCATCCCAAATACCCGATCTTATTCGATTATATGACGCATCTGTGATTATTTTTGCGGCAAGTTCGGATAAATGATCTTTCAAACCTCCAACGTTTGGGTCTATGGACATACAGTTATCGTTAAGTATAATGACAATGTCTTCTTTTAAGTGCCCAAGATGATTTAGAGCTTCAAAAGCTATCCCGCCTGTTAATGCTCCGTCTCCAATTACAGCAATAACCTTTTTATTTTCGCCTTTTATGGATATGGATTTAGCCATTCCCAATGCAGCTGAAATGGAGGTAGATGCATGACCTACGCCAAATGGGTCGTATTCACTTTCATCTCGTTTTGGAAATCCCGAGATACCTCCATATTGTCTATTACTGTAAAAAATTGATTTTCTTCCTGTAAGTATTTTGTGAATGTACGCCTGGTGTCCAACGTCCCAAACTAATAAATCATCGGGGGTATTGTAAGCGTAATGAATTGCGATTGTTAATTCTACGACCCCCAAACTTGCAGCAAAATGCCCTCCGTGCTTTGATACAACATCAATTAAGAACTCTCTGCTTTCTCTTACTATTTTTGGTAGATCTTCTACAGAGAACTTTCTTAGATCTTTGGGTGAATTTATTTTAGAAAGAACTTCACCGAAAGAAGAGTAAAATTCAGATTTTGTAAATTTTTCTTTGTTAATTCCCATTTTATTATTTTATTTCATTTATGAGGTTTGTAACTCAAACCATGTTAATGATTTAAATTATTTTAAATAGCAAAAATAAGTCGTAGAATAATTTAAAATGATTAGTTTTTATTAACTCCTTTGTGGAATTTTGACTTGTTTTAACAATTATTATAATAAAAAACTGTTAGTCCTTTTTGGTTCAGATGGAGATCAGATGGAGAAATTTTAGACAGGTCGAGTTTCCTATTAATAAGAAAATATTACGGATAACAAAAATGGATTTAGTTCTTTGAACTTTGGTATGTTTCACGTGAAACAACATGCTTGCTAAATTTCAAAAAGGCACATTTCATCTAACGGCTGTTTCACGTGAAACATTTATTTTTTAAGCAAATGTTTAAATGTTTTCTTAAATTTTTCAACCTTTGGATTTATTATGAAAGAACAATAACCTTGTGTCGGATTTTTTTCAAAATAATCTTGATGGTAGTCTTCAGCAATATAAAATTTTGTGAGTGGTTCAAGAATTGTTACTATTGGATCTTTCCAGTTTTGGGAGGCTCTTAATATGGCTTTTTTTGCAACCTCTTTTTGTTTTTCGTTTTCAAAAAATATGGTTGAACGATATTGAGTTCCGATGTCATTGCCTTGCTTGTTAAGCGTGGTTGGGTCATGAGTCGCAAAAAAGATATCCAAAATGGTTGAAATGGAAATTTTGCTTTGGTTAAAAGTAATTTGAACAACTTCCGCATATCCCGATTTTCCAGAGCAAACAAAATCATAACTTGGATTTTTAACAGTGCCTCCTGCATAGCCTGAGCGAACATCAATAACACCCTCCAATTTTTCAAAAATAGCCTCAACACACCAAAAACATCCTCCTCCCAACACAATTCTTTCATCAGAAGTAGACCCAAATTTTGTCATAATATAAATTATTAAAATTATCCACATACGAATCTTAATTAAAATTATCTTCCTAAATAAACCATTAAAATTGAAACATCAGAAGGTGTAACACCCGAAATACGAGAAGCCTGTCCAACCGTTGAAGGTCTAATTTTTAACAATTTTTCCTTCGCCTCAGAGGAAAGACCTTTTACATTTGAATATGAAAAACCATAAGGAATGGTAAGATGCTCCAACCTTTTGTACTTCTCAATCATTTTGTATTCTCGTTTCAAGTAACCTTCGTATTTAACGTCTGTTTCTACTTGGGAATATACTTCCGCACATGTAGAAATTTTTTCAACCTCCGCTTTGATCGTGGGTATTTTTTCTAAAAGGTTATTAAATGTAACACCTTGTCTACAAAGCACATCTTTAGCCTTTGCGGATTTGTAAAATTTTCCTTCTATTGGAAGTTCTGATAGCAAACCAGACTCTAAACTTAGACTTTGTAAGAGTAAATGCAGTTCGTCTACTTGTTTTTTCTTTTCTTTGAACTTTTTGTAACAGGATTCATTAAGTAGTCCAATATCATACCCTTTTTGACAAAGTCGTCTGTCAGCATTGTCCTGTCGTAGATTAAGTCGGTACTCAGCGCGTGAAGTAAACATTCTGTAAGGTTCATCGGTATTTTTTGTAATGAGATCATCAATGAGAACTCCGATGTATGCGTCAGAACGAAGCAGAGTGAAGGATTGTGATTTCATTTGTAAAGCAGCGTTAATGCCTGCAATAAGTCCTTGTGCAGCGGCTTCTTCATAACCAGACGTACCGTTAATTTGTCCTGCCAAAAAAAGACCTTTAATTGATTTTGTTTCTAATGTGGGATGAAGTTGGTGAGGATGAAAGTAATCATATTCTATGGCGTAACCCGGTCTAATCATACGCACATTTTCCAAACCCGAAATTTTACGTAACGCATTGATTTGGACGTCTTCCGGCAAAGATGTGGAAAATCCATTTAAATATATTTCATTTGTTTCGTATCCTTCTGGTTCTAAAAAAAGCTGGTGCCGTTCCTTGTCCTTAAATCTGCTTATTTTGTCCTCAATAGAAGGGCAATAACGTGGACCAACACCATTAATTATCTTCCTAAACATGGGCGAGCGATCAAATCCACTTTCAAGAATTTTGTGCGAACTGTCATTTGTGTATGCTATAAAGCATGAAATTTGTGGTCGGTTTTTAAAAATGGAAGGGTTTGACCAAAAGGAAAAGGGTTGAATTATTTCATCGGGTTCTTGCTTTTCAAGTTTAGAAAAATCAACACTTCGTGAATCAATTCTTGGGGGCGTTCCTGTTTTTAATCTACCGGAGGTAAGACCAAGATTATTCAGGCATGAAGTGATTCCTATTGCAGGCGGTTCTGCAAGTGTTCTTCCACCAGAATAGTTATTTAACCCAATATGGATTTTTCCATTTAAAAAAGTCCCTGTGGTTAAAATAACACTGTGTGAAGGGATAGTTTCACCATTATGTAGAATAATAGATTTATAATGGAAGTGCTCAACGTTAATAGAAGTAACATTGCTTTGCATTAAAAAAAGGTTTCTTTCTCTCTCTAAACTTTTTCGCATCTCAATGGAATACTGGACACGATCAGCTTGGGAGCGCGGTGAATACATGGCAGGCCCCTTGCTTTTGTTTAGCATTTTAAATTGTATGCCTGTAAGGTCGATTATTTTTCCCATTTCTCCGCCAAGTGCGTCAATTTCACGAACAATTTGACCTTTTGCTATTCCTCCGATTGCTGGATTACAAGACATTCTTGCAACTGCCATAAGGTCAGTTGAAATAAGAAGCGTTTTAGCACCAATGCGAGATGAGGCGAGTGCGGCTTCACAGCCCGCATGTCCCGCTCCTACTACGATTATGTCGTATTCGTTTTTTATCATAATTACTAAATTATTACAATTTAAGGCTAATGTAAACTAATAATTGATGTTGATAACCTTGATTTTGTAGTTTAACAAATAGAAATTCAATTAATCGTTAGTCATGACTAATGTGATGATGTACAGTGAATTGAAATAATTTGAACAAAAATAATTTGAACAACAAATTACAAATAAATTTGTTAAAAAAGATTTAATCACTTAATTTTGCCCGATGTAAATGTATAAATATGTTAATGTACATTATTTTGAGGTAGTTAGTTCTAAAGTAAGTAAATAAAAAGAAGAAAAGAAAATGTCTAAATCAGATTTGATAGAAAAAATTGCAGAGAAGTCGAATATCACGAAGTCCGCAGCGACTGAGATTGTGAATACAATATTGGCATCATTGAATGAGGCTTTGAAAAATTCTGAGGATGTTTCGTTGGTTGGTTTTGGTACATTTTCTGTACAGAAAAGAGAAGAGAGAATGGGAAGAGATCCTAAAACTGGAAGTCCGATAACAATTGCTGCAAGAAATGTTGTTAAGTTTAAGCCCGCGTCAGGCTTGAAGTCGCTTATTAATCAGTCACCTGATAGCAACAGCAGTAAGGAACTTAGTTAAGGTTTAAAACGGTCGCATCGTTAAAGGCTCATATCAATTGAAATAAAAATTTTGTTTTGCTTTTTGCGAGAGTGGCGGAATTGGTAGACGCGCTAGGCTTAGAATCTAGTGCCGAAAGGCGTGGGGGTTCAAGTCCCTTCTCTCGTACTTTGAAATGCCGAAATGGCGGAATTGGCAGACGCGCTAGACTCAAAATCTAGTGAGGTAATCCCTCGTGTGGGTTCGACCCCCTCTTTCGGTACAACGATAGGTTAAGGAGCATTGCGGCGTGTTTACATCGGACGTTTAATATGATTTATTGATAAAAGAATGATAACATTTTTAAGTATTGTTACTGTTATTGTGGGAGTTCTATTGAGCATTACAATTTTGTTGCAAAATAGTAAGGGAGGGGGACTTTCAGCTGGTTTAGGTTCGTTAGGGACAGGGACACAGGTCTTTGGTGTACGTCGTGCTTCGGACGCATTGAGTAAGGCGACGGTGTTTTTATCGGCGGTTTTTCTTCTTCTCTGTGTAGTAATGGAACTTGTAGTTATTTCGACGAAGGATGATAAGTCGGGAGATAGTATTTTACAAAACCAAACTATTGAACAGCAAAATTTACCCACAGAAGGAGATACGAAATTGCCACCCGTTTCTTTACCAGAGAATAAATGATGTAGGTTGCATTCGTAGCTCAGTTGGTAGAGCAGCTGACTCTTAATCAGCGGGTCGTGGGTTCGAGTCCTACCGAATGCACCCGAAGCCGAAATGGCGGAATTGGTAGACGCACGGGACTTAAAATCCTGCGAGCCGTAAGGCTCTTACGAGTTCGATTCTCGTTTTCGGCACATATCCGCAGTTCACTCTTTTTCAATATTTTAATTTCTCCATTATTTCATTTTATGGAAAAAAATGTTAGTAAATCCGTTATTAGAATTAAGGGAGCAAGAACTCATAACTTAAAAAATATATCTTTAGACATACCAAAGGGCAAGTTAATTGTAATGACTGGACTAAGTGGGTCTGGAAAATCAAGTTTAGCGATTGATACGCTTTATGCAGAAGGGCGAAGACGGTATGTAGAATCACTCTCATCTTATGCAAGGCAGTTTCTTGAACGAGTTCCGAAACCCGATGTGGACGAGATAATTAATATTTCGCCTCCAATAGCCTTAGAGCAGAAAAGTATTTCAAAAAATTCAAGATCTACTGTGGGAACTGTTACAGAAATTTATGATTATCTTAAATTGCTTTTTTCAAGGGTAGGTAAAATGTATGCTTATGGAGAGGAGGAGAAAGTTGTTAAAAAGGATTCAGCGACAGACGTATTAAACTATGTAAAAGAAAATTCCGAAGGTACAATCGGATACATTACGTTTCCGCTTATTAGTACATTGAGTGCGGTCACGCCCTCCCTAAAAGTTTTTGTTGAAAAGGGATTTTTTCAAATTATTTCAGAATCAGGGAAAGAGTTTAGTACAGATGAACAAGAAGATGATATAATGAAGTTAATTAGGAAAAAGGAAGAAAAGCTATTTGTAGTTGTAGATAAGTTTGAGTTTTCCTACGATAGCGATTTTGAAAACAGAATAATAGAATCAACAGAAACAGCATTTGTAGAAGGGATGGGATATTTGTCTCTTTTTGTTGGAAGTAAAAAAATGGACTTTTGTGAAAATTATGAACTTGACGGTGTGCAATATATAGAACCTACGCCACAGTTGTTTTCATTTAATTCGCCTATGGGAGCATGTGAAAAATGTGAAGGGCTTGGCGTGGTTTATGGAATAGATAAAAACACAGTGTTTCGCAAAGGGGAGGAAACGATATCTCATAGACTATCAAAATTGTTTGAACACCGAATGATTAGAAGGTATTTAAGCGAGTTTGAGTCTCTATTGGCTAAAGAGAATATAGATTTAAATTTAAAATTTTCTCAATTAGAGTTGACGGAACAGGAGAAAATTTGGATGGGGTCTTCTAAAAAAGTAAATAATGGACTAAAATTTGCGTTTGAGGAGTTAGATAAGGAGAGTAGAAAAAATATTTTTATCAGGACGACCTTGTCTACTTACAAAGGTAAAGCTGTATGTGATGTGTGTAATGGGAGTCGCTTAAAGAAAGATGCGCTTCAAGTAAGAGTAAATGGAAAAAATATTGCCGATTTATGTTCATTAACCATAGAGGGGGCATTACACTTTTTTAATAATATTATACTAAGTGAATATGAGAAAAATGTTTCAAAAGTTTTAATTCAGGAAATCTTAAAACGATTAAATTACTTGAATGATGTAGGGCTTTCGTATTTGACATTGAACAGAGAGTCAAAAACTCTTTCGGGGGGGGAGTCTCAGAGAATAAACTTAGCTTCATCTATAAGTTCGTTACTTACAGGTGCTATTTATATTTTGGACGAGCCCAGTATCGGTTTGCACCAGAAAGATTCGAAAAAATTAATAAACGTTTTAAGAAAATTAAGGGATACGGGTAACACTGTTATTGTGGTAGAACATGATAGAGAAATAATGGAAGCTGCGGATGAAATAATAGATATTGGTCCTGCATCAGGCATCAATGGGGGTGAAATTATGTTTCAGGGATCTCCTAAGGCTATTAGTGAAAGAAGCGAAAAAAGTCTGACCGGTAAGTATCTTTCTGGTGAGAGGGGGGTTACCTCTTATAAGAAAAGAAAGTCGATAACAGAAAATGATAAAATTAGAATAGAAGGGGCATACGAGAACAATTTAAGGAATATCGATGTTGAAATTCCGTTATATAACTTGACGTGTGTTACGGGGGTTAGTGGGTCGGGTAAGTCTTCGCTGGTTTATGATGTTCTTTACTCCGGGCTGCGAGGAGAGGAAGTAAGTGTCGGAAATAGTATTCAAGCAAAGAAAATAATTGGAAAGGAATTGATTTCGGGGGGGGTGTATTTAGTTGACCAAGGTGCGATCGGGCGTTCAACAAGAAGCAATCCAGTAACCTATGTTAAAGCATTTGAAGGAATTAGGAACATCTTTGCTAAAACTCCAATAGCTTTGAAAAATAAGCTATTAGCCAGTCTATTTTCATTTAATATTCCAGGTGGAAGATGTGAAGAATGTGAAGGTGAAGGAAAAATTGTTGTTGAAATGCAGTTTCTTTCGGATGTTGAAATGGAGTGTGAGGCATGCAATGGTAAAAGGTACAGAAAAGAAATTCTCAATGTCTATTATAAAGGAAAGAATATTTATGATGTACTCGCATTAACTATTTCAGAGGCAATTGAGTTGTTTGAGGGAGAAGATGATGTAGTAAATAAATTATCGATTCTTGAGGAGGTTGGGTTGGGTTATTTGCAAATGGGACAAGCTGCTTCAACATTATCTGGGGGAGAGGCGCAGAGGTTGAAATTAGCTTCATTTATTGCAAACGCGTCTATGAAAAATGCACTGTTTATTTTTGATGAGCCTACAACGGGACTTCATTTTGAGGATGTCGGTAGGCTACTTCATTGCTTTGAGAAATTAATTAGGCATGATAATACGTTGCTGGTTGTTGAACACAATTTGGATTTGATTAAGCATGCGGATTGGATTATTGATTTAGGACCGGAGGCGGGTGAAAGGGGAGGAAATGTGGTTGCAATGGGAACGGTATCAAATGTGGTAAATTGTAAAACTTCTTATACAGGTCAAGAATTAAAAAAAATAATGATTGATTGATTTGCGTGGTTACTGTAAGAAACGGGATGTTATTAGGTTAGCTATCCAAAATACTGGAGCTCCTATGCAAAACGCATCAAACCGGTCAAAAAATCCACCATGCCCAGGAATAATGCTTGATGAATCCTTTACAGAAAATTCACGCTTGATCATGGATTCAAATAAGTCTCCAAACGGCGATAGTACTCCGATTGCTAAGCTGAGAATGATACCTTTGGTAAATCCAATTGAATGATTTGCGTAGCCGTATAAAGCACCAATACTAAGAGTAAATAGCAGAGCGATAAAAAACCCCTCCCATGTTTTTTTAGGGCTATGAACTGGGAAAAATTTCTTATTGAATAAGTACCCACCAAATAGTCGACCACCAAAATATCCGAAAATATCCGAACTCCATATTAAAATAAAAAGAAGTAGGAGATAGTCATTTCCAAGTTCTGTTTTGATTAAAAAAAGACTTGAAAGAGGGAGTGACACAAAAAATAGCGAAATAAGATAAAGAGAAAAATTTGGAAAATGAGGTGGGGGTAGAAAAAGTTCTATTATGAATAAAAGGAGAAACAAAATTGTCACAAAATGAAGAAACGGAAGTAAAGAAAAATACGCGTTAAAAAGTAATAAAGTCGAAGAAACGATATTTAAAAAGATAGATACAATTCCAGAATTTAAAAGTCCAATTCTCGAAAGTTCATAAACGCAACTTAGTGTGATAGTTAGAACAAATATGAATAAAAAAATAGATGGACTGAAAATAATGAGAACAATAGCAGGAATGGCTACTACTGCAGTAATTACCCTAAGAAATAAATTGCTGGAAGTGAATGGCATAACTTTGTTCGTGTATTTTTATGCTTCTTTCTGTGTTTATTCCCATTCAATGGTTGCAGGCGGTTTTGACGATATATCATAAGTCACTCGATTGACACCATGGACGCAGTTTACAATTTTTGTTGAGACGGTGGCTAAAAAGTCATGAGGGAGTTTTGACCAATCGGCAGTCATGCCGTCAATAGAATTTACAGCACGGAGGGCAATCACGTTTTCATAGCTTCTGTTATCTCCCATAACGCCAACGCTTTTTGTTGAAAGTAACACTGCGAATGCTTGCCAAATATGATGATAAAGAGAAGCGCTTCGTAATTCTGAAATAAATATTTCGTCAACTTCTCGTAATAAGTTGAGTTTGCTTTTTGTAATTTCTCCAATAATTCTAACAGCAAGTCCAGGACCAGGGAATGGATGCCGTTCTAATATTTCAGAAGGTAATCCGAGCCGTTTGCCTACTTCTCGCACTTCATCCTTAAATAATTCACGTAAAGGCTCGAACAGTTTTAATTTCATTCGTTTTGGAAGTCCACCAACGTTATGGTGAGACTTTATTATCTGAGATGGACCTAAGACATTAACACTTTCAATAACATCGGGGTACAGAGTACCTTGAATTAAAAATTTCTCTGATTT